CTTGCACTTGCCAGGCAGGTGCTGTGCTGGTGACTTATAACCCCCAGCCCCCATGGGGCTCTAAAAGTTAACACTAATGTTTCAGTCACAGAGATTAGGGTTGGGAGTAAATAAGGGAAAACAGCCCTGAGACTGGCACTTACGGGTCAGATACGTCACGTTACATTCTAATACACAGCATTCATATCTGCACTCAGTCGTGCTCTCTCCGACTCCAGTCCTTTCACGTTATAACAATAACTGGGCTACATCCCTAGCCCTTAGCTACCTCCCTAGCTAAGCTGCCCAGGCCACTTAACCTTGCCATCCTCTTGCTTCAGCCTCCCAAGAAGCTGATTATGTGCACAAGCTTCCATGCCAGCTCCAGGTTAAATCTTATCCAGGGTGAAATTATATAAGGGCTTTTCATCTGTGCTCTTTAAGAATTTCATCAACACTGTAATCCTCGCCGGGCATGGTGGCGCACGCTTATAATCCCAGAACTTGGAAGGCTGAGGCAGGAGGATCCTTGCAAGTTCAAGGCCAGCCTGCGCTACAAAGTGAGCTCAAGGTCAGCCTGAACCGCATAGCGAGACCCTGTCTCAAAAAGGCAAAAAAAAAAACCTGTAATCCTCAAAAATTTTTCTTTTAAATGTTATTTTTTACTATGCTGGGAATTCAATCTATCACATGCTAGACAAGGGTGCTACTATTGAGCTATATCCCCAGCACTTTTTGAGAGTCTCACTAAGTTACCCAGACTGAGATCCTCCTGCCTCAGCTTCCTGAGCAGTGGGCATTATAGGACTATGGCACATGCCTGGCTAATCTATTAGTCTCTATGCTTTATAGGCTACCTCTTAGCAAAAGTTGTTTCTAACAACATAGTCCAAATCTATATATTTTTTTTGGTACTGGGAATCAAAGGACCTTGCACTTGCTAGGCAGGGGCGTGTGCCACTGAGCTATACTATACTCAGGACCTTGTACTTGCTAGGCAGGGGCGTGTGCCACTGAGCTATATCCCCGGCCCTCATAGTCCAAATCTAAATTAGACTCAAGAAATTGTTTTCAGGGCTGGAGATGTGACTCAGTGGGATGGCACTTGCCTAACATGGACAATGTTCTAGGTTCTACCCTCAGACACACAAACACATGCACACACACGCCTACAGTTTTTCAAGGGATTTGAGGGTCACACAATCTTCCACCTCAGTTTATCATCAATCAGCCAGAATGTCAGTAGCGACTACAAACTCAGCATGAGGAAAAATGCTTTGATGAGGGATTCTTATTAGTATCAAAGATTAAAAATTAGATTTAAAACGCTGGTAGTAAGAATGGAGCTATTCTTTCCTGTTAATAATGCTCAATTCCTGTGTTAGTGAAAAATATCTAAGTCTCAATGAAGCACCTTTCATCAGGAATCTCATATAATGTTAGTAATGTTAGAAGGCTATCAGTGTGCTTTATGGGTAATTATGAAAGTGGTTTATTTCCCTTGTTTTATTAACACAGTCACTAGACCCTCCATTTCTCTGCTTAATTTTTCCTGATAGCTTAGCTATTTCCAAGAAAAACAATCGTTTGGAGCCTGGCATTGCAGATAAGAAAACATTATTACTTTGTACTGGATTCTTTTTATCAGACGGGTTCAGCAGAAACTGAACCTCAAACTGTCTACCTGGTTCCCGCTTGGCATCCATTAATATGGTAAAAGCCTTTATTTTTGCATCTCATGATTATCAAGTAAGAAACTCACTTTCAGCAAAGAACAGCAGCAAGAACCCAGAAGGACAACAGAATTCTCCACCGGATTCCACTCAACATGGTACCGGCTCGGGGCTGGCTGAGTTTCATGCTTCCGAATCATGTTTATCCAGGTCACCTGAGGATTACACAGCATCACTTTTGCACTTCAAAAAAATTTAAAAAGCCAAAAACAAAACAACAACTGTAGCCATGGCAAGAAAAGGAAAACAGTGTCTTTATTGTGTGTGGGCCTCACAAACAGTCAGTGTGCACATTCCAGCAAGAGACAAAGATCTTTGTTCAAAAATGCTGAAATAAACTAGGTAAACAAACGCCATTATTGAATACACAGACGGAACGTTAGTACTAATTAAAAGAATGTTATATTCATTCACAGTCGAGCGGGAAGCAAAAAAAGCAAAATAAATGAAATAATGTTTTGCCCAAATAGCAAATACAGGAGATAGGCCCGGGCAAGGGGCAGCTACTAGAACCCACGAGTAAGATGTGGATACAGGCTAAGGGACGGCGCCAATCTCTCGGCTTCTTTGGAACCCGCCTCCTCCATCACCCCCACAAATTCCAAACCTGGCGTCTTCAGAGCACGGAAGCCAAACGTGACTAAACTCCCCATTACTTTTGTGATATCTGGCAGCAGAATGGGATGGTTAATAAAATCGATTTCTTGTCGAGACAAGACAGGTCTGCATCTGTTTCTCTAGAGTAGGAGGTAAAAACCATTACTGTTCTGCATCTCAGTCTCCTAAAACGGAATTTAACCCGGTAGCTATCACTTCAGATTTTAAGCATGAGATGCCGTCAGTAACGACGACCTGGTCTGTCGCTCCCCATCGGCACTAAGTGAGCACGAGCCCAGCAGTACTATTTCACAACGCAAGCATTTATGACAACCGGTAAAAGAACCCCGCAAGCTCAAATGATGGCTTCGAATGAACGTTTGTTTGCCTCAGTGGTCACGTGAGGAGATCTAAACACAATATACGTTTCGTTCCCATCGCTTTCTCATCTTTATAAATGTAAAAGCTGTCTCGAAGTGAGAAACAGTTCCGACGAGCCAGGGCCTGGGGGATTCTGGAGGATGGGCACGCACAGCCTACATTTTGGTGGCATAAAATTTCTCTTCTGCGATCACAGCCACTGCGTGGACAGTGCGGTGCGCAGCGGTGGCTGGTCCTCCTCAGAACAAAACAGACAGCCAAACACCCGGGAGACCAGGGGACACTGTCCACTAACGGCTGGCTTTTCAAGACCTACTGGCGGCAAGACTGTTTTGAGAGTTCCAGTCTATTTCTCCACAGAAGTCCTTTCTGCCGGACTTGGCGAGGGTGCTGCACTGTACACGCTGTAGCGTGCTGTCTGCCGTGTCCTGCATTGATGAGACAAGCCCCTGCAAACCCTCACTCAGGAACCTCCACCTTGCTGTGCATGTAGGCAGGATTACAGTAAACGGACATAAAGTGTTCTTTATAATACAAAGCGATACCACATTAGCAGTAGTTCAAAAGGGGCCTCGGGTACGGGGTAGATTCCACGGACAGTACAGACAAAGCCTGAAAGATTTTTCCCTCTGGCTCTCAGCATAAAACCAGTCCAAATATAAACAGGAAAAAAAAACAATATGGAATAGAAAAACATACTTTTCGAATTGTTTACCCTATGAAATATAAAATATAAACAGCAATTTTGCTCCAGACCATAGTTCTTTAACATTTCTTATAAGTCAGATTTTTTCATTCCGTTTTAGAGACTGCAACACACTTACAGCTGACCCAAGTTATCTTCTGGCTTACCGTTATCTCAGCCTGAAGGGAGCCTTTCCTGCGCCTCAGTGCGCCTCTGCCCTTCCCCTCTGCGCCGACGAGCGTACTACTCCATGTGATCACACAACTGACCTCCTACGGCGGTTACACCGCAACCCTGAGCTCAGGAGACCCTGCGTGTGCTTACGCATCCCGCCCCCCGATACCAGGAATCGAACTCACCACCTCGCGCTTGCCAGGCAGTCGCGGTGCCGCGGAGCTAAATCCCCAGCCCCCCTCTCCCCCTGCCTGTGCTTAAACAGAGGCGCATCAAGTCGCACCGTCATGCAAGAACCATTTTTCAGTCCATTTTCATCAAGTAGCATCTTAGAATTTTGTAAATATTTTCTAAAGATATAGTTTGATTAAAACATATGTGATATCTAAACATCAGCCCGAAGTTACTCCCAAGTATCATAGTATGCAAAGAAAAGCTTAATACTACCTTGATGGATTCAGAATTCATTCCTCTGTAAATCACTGGATACAAGACCTGGTTTGAACTTTTTCTTAGGAGTTGGCATGGGTGGGCTCTGGTTTGCCCGACAGTTTCCTGTCTTGTTGACTCCCTGGCAAACTTGATCCCGGGCCGTGTCTGTGGTACTTCAACCCAGCTGTTCCCTGCGTGATATGACCCTGGCCCAGAACCAGACAGGTAATCCTCCAAGGATGGGGAGAAAACTCAAAGCTACTGGCAGAAAACAGCCAGCAGACTCTACCCAGGTGCTTCCCTGAGGGAAAAAATAAAAGCAAAGATGCCACCAAAATCCTGGCAACAGAATTCTAAATAACCTACTTTTCACCGAGACAAACATATAAATCAAAAAAAAAAAAAAAACCCTACCAGTTTTTTGGTTTTTTTTTTTAATTGTTTATTTTGAGTAAAACAAAACCACAAGTTGGAGTCATGGAAGTAAAAATACAGATGGAATGGAAAACGGTCTCTTGTCATGATCTTTCATTTTCAAATGACATCTTATATGGAAGTTATTTCACTGGGTCTGTTGCTTTTGTACAGAGGAATCAAAAGTTTGCTAATCAATATACAAAAAGCAGTAAGAATCCTTGGTAAAGCTCTATAGACATAATTATACACTTATACTTTTACCAATAAGAGAGGACAAAAAGAGAGAGATGATTAGAAGCTGGTACCAAACAAGAAAAAAGTTTTGGTCTAAACTCCTCCCTAAACTAGTGTTTTAAAAATATTTTTTAAAAAAAGATGACTCAGAGCCAGGCGTGGTGGCACACACCTGTAATCCCAGCACTAAGGAGGCTGAGGCAGGAGGACTACTGCAAGTTCGAGGCCAGCCTGGGCTAAAAAGTGAGCTCAAGGTCAGCCTGAACTGCATAGCGAGACCCTGTCTCAAAAAGACAAAAAAAGGAAACACTCTTCTTTTGCCAGGGTTCAATTAGCCCACCCAGTCCATTCCACTCTTCTGCCGGCTGCTCCCAGCCCCGAGAGCAGAGGAGAGCAGTTTTGTCCAGCACCCCAGGAAATCGGCTGGGCTGAGGGGCGGAGGTGCTGCCAGCTACACTAGCCTGGAAGGCAGGTGACCACACAGCTCTCTCCAACTTTAATACACAGGTAAGGAGCAAGGTCATTTGGCCGTCATATTGTAAATAATAGGTATGCACTTTTACTTCACAACTGAAACCGCTTATGGTTAATAGAATCAAATCAGAATTTTAAAAAGATTTTTAAAAAATGGAATAAGAAACATTTCAAAACCAGAGTGCTACCCTGATAAGAATCTCTAATGGGAGCTGGGCGTGGTGACACACACCTGTAATCCCAGCGCTTGGGAGGCTTGCCGCAAGTTTGAGGGCATCCTGAACTATACATCCAGACGCTGTCTCAAAAAATGACAACAACAACAAAAAGAATCTCTCATGGGTATTCAAGTATCGGAAAGCAGGCAGATTTCCCACAGGGGGACGTCAACACAGCATGTGAACTTCAATCAGCAACATAAACTTGTACAGTGTAAGGGACTTGTGGAAACCAGTGACAAGAATGAGTGTTGGCCAGGACTCGGGGGTGAGCAGGCGCGCTGGGCGTAAGGCTCTGAGAGAGGGTGGACACTGGTCCCACATTGGAGTTGGGTGTCTGGTCAACCGTCTTGGCTCTAAAGGGGAAGAATGCAATTGGCAGGATTCGAGGGGCACTGCCGTAGCCCCCCAAGCAAGTCTCTAATTTTCACTCCCAAGTGGATGTGTTTCCCACGCTTCAACAAGGTCTCCTCAGGAAGATTTGCTTTCCGCAGTGTAGTAACGATACAGGAAACCTAGGAGAACAGCGCCTACAATGGGTAAAATCCAATATGACCAGCAACTAGAAATGGGAAAAAAGCAATGACGTGAGTATTTTATAGCAAACGTACACTATCTTTCAGAATTAACATTCTAATACTTACGTGGGTAAGCAGTTTTGATTTGAAATTTAATTGTTTTTAATCACATAGTAGTTGGGAAAAAACCCAAACTATTTTTGTTTTTGTTTTTTTGTTTTCATTTTGTTTTTGGTACCAGTAATTGAACTCATGACCTTGCGCTTGCCAGGCGGGTGCTGTGCCAGCCCTTTGTCTTTTGAAACAGGGTCTTACTATGTAGTTCAGACTGGCTTGAACTCATTATGTAACCCAGTCTGGCCTCAAATTCATGGCAATCCTCCTGCCTCAGCCTCCCAAGTGCTGGGATTACAGGCCTGTGCCACCAAGCCTGGCATACTCAAACTATTTTGGAGTGCCAATATTAAAAAGTAACTTTTTAAAAAAGGATAAAATATCCAAAAAGATACACATACACATGTCTATAGGTGTTTCTACAAAGACATACAATGCTTATATCTGGGTTATCAGATTATGGACAGTTTAGATAAATTTTTTCTTCTTTACAGCCTGTCTGGTGGCACATGCCTATAATCCCAGCACTTAGGAGGAGGCGGCAAGAGGATCGCCTTGAGTTCAAGGCCAGCCTGGACTACATAGTGAGTTCAAGGCCAGCCTGGACTACAGAGTGAGTTCAAGGCCAGCCTGGACTACAGAGTGAGTTCAAGAACAGCCTGAACTACAGTTAAAACCCTGACTTTAAAGACACCCCACTAAAAGAGTTGTTTTTCTTCTTTGTGCTTTTATTTTTCACATATTGAACTGGGGACATAAGTAGAGCACTTGTCTAACGTTAACGGGCAAGGCCCTAGGTTCAATCTGCAGTATCACACACATACATAAAGGTGTTTTTCATACATAATTAATTTTCCCCCATGTTAGGATTGCACCTAGGGCCTCACGCATGCTAGGTGACTACTCTAATGAGCTACACTTCCAACCCAAATGAACAGTTTTAAGTAGGAAAAAATACCATTATGTAAGTGTATATATGTATAGGTATTTCCACGTCTATCCCATTGAAGCAGTATCTAATCCAACTACCAGCAATACTTTGTCTGCTTCACACGTATTTTAAGAGTTTAATCCTTACCACAACCCTATGAAACCACTATCCTCCTCCCACACACAGGAGACACAATCTTTGCACTCCAAATCACAAGCTGGTCAGGCGGTCTGACTCTAAACCGTCCCCTTGATCTCTGGTTGAGTTTGGACACTAAAAAGGATGCACATATACAGAACATAACCATAGATCTCGAGAGTTAAGCAAATAGTAGTTGCCTTAGGAAGTACCACAGGTAACTTTCCTGGAGCGTTTCGGAACAGCAACCCTTCTCCCTAAAATAATCCATCTGTAGTGGAGTATGCCCGCACCACGAGCTTTACAGTGGGAAACCAGGACCCAAATGACCTGGCTGCCCCTCCGCATAGAACACAGCCAGTCTTGGTATTAAAAGCCAAAAATTCCAGCTGAAGATCGTAACAAACACACTTCTCTTTGCCTAAACACGCCTAGCACCCTGTACACTGAAGTAAGGCAGAAAGCTACTCTGAACAAGTTTAGTAGTCGGCCAGGCAGCCTGTTACAAAAATTAATCAAGAAGGCATGTGTAAGGGCAACGCAGCACATGGGAAAGTTCATGTACTCTCCCCAGAAGAGAAATGAACTCAGGCCTTTTGAAGAATAACAACAAAAGACCAGAGAGCCCCAGCACAGGATCCTTGAGAAAACAATAAAGAAAAAGCCCTCAGTGCAAAAAACAATAGCGGGCCATCAATCTTCATAATAATCTTTCCTACTACTTAGTTGCCACTGAGGAGAGAAGAAAACACATTTTGCTGCACTAAGGGTGATATAAGACAGAATTTTCTTCTTGGAGATTTATCCAGGTTACTGGGTGGAGTTACTGCACTTAGTTATGATCTATTTATTTTTACTGCATGAACATACCATAATTTATTCATTGACTTTATTATTGAATGAATATTTGGATAGTTCCCAATGTCTGAGTATCTTTTATGATGTTGCTATGAACATTCTTGTACATACTCCCAGTGTACTTGGGCACACATGCCCCCACCTTCTTTGTTTTTGAGAAAGGGTCTTGCTGTGTATTTGGCCCGTCTTGAATGCACTGAGTAGCCCAGGCTGGCCTGGTGGTGATCCTCTGGTCTCAGCCTTCTGAGTGCCAGGGTTACAGGCATGAACTACCACATCTAGCTCTTCCTTTCCTGGTGGTACTGGGGGTGGAACCCAGAGCCTTTGCTACATCCCCAGCCTTATTTATTCATTTATTTATTTATTTTGTATTTTGAGATGGGTTTGTTTTTTTTTTCTTTTTACCTTTTTTTTGCAGGGGAGGGTACCGGGAATCGAACTCAGAACCTTACGCTTGCCAGGCAGGCCCTCATGCCCCTGAGCTATATCCCCGGCCCCACCGAATTTGTGATACTCCTGATTCAGCCTTTCAGACTGCTGGCATTACACAGGTATATACATGCACACTACCATGCCTGGCTACCCTTGCCCATTTAAAGGTTTTTTCCTTTTTTTGATTTTTTGTTTGTTTATTTGATTTGGGGTTTTTTTTGAGAAAAGGTCTTGTTATGTAGTTCAGACTGCTCTTAGACTCACTCTGTAGCCTGGGCAGGCCTGGACCTGGTGGCAATCCTCCTATCTCAGCTTCCTCAGTGGTGGGATTACATGCGTGTACCACCACACCTATCCTAAATTTTCTTTTCTTTAAGTCTTTGATTCAGCTGGCGTTTTAGCCATATTTTTTTATTATTTAATAATCGTTATTTTTGTCCTAACCCAATAAAATGTTTGCTTCCTTAGCAATTATTCTTTTTCTTTTGAAGAAAGGGTCTCACTATCGTGCTCAGGCTGTTCTCAAACTCCTGGGTTAAGTGACACTCATGCCTCAGCCTCTGAGCAGCTGGAATGCGCCTCTACATCTGGCCTGTCCACTGAGCACATCCTTAGAAATGAGCTGATTCACACTGTTAAATTTACTAGATAATGCCAAATTGTTTTCCAAGCCAAGTGCATCCATTTACATTTCCCTTAGGGGTGCTCAAGAGCCTTGCCAGTCCATTTCCCAAATTCTTATTTTCAGAATTTAAAACTTTTGCCAATGTGGGTGTGTACCTGTAATTTTAATTTGTATCTCTCTGATGATGAATGACATTAAACCTTTTTTTCTACATGCTTATATTTGTGTTTCTTCTTCTATAATGTGCTTAGTTCTTTCTCTTACTTTTTATTGACTTATCTTTTAAAAGTTCATGTGCAAGAATTCTTCATGTATTCTCCATAACAGTGTAATCAGTATTAGGCATATCATAAAATCTACTACAGCTTTATAGCTTATATTTTCAAATTATGTAGCTTTTTGCTGAGCCTAAGTCATTATTATTAAAACTGAATTTACTAATAGTTTGTGGTTTTTTATATTGTGTTTTACTTCAAATAAAAGACAATATTTTAGAGGGGGCATGCTTTGTCTTTTTCTCAAATACTTTGAAATCTCCAAAAGATATAGGGGCCACGTACACTGGCACACGCCTATAATCCCAGAACCCCAGAGGCTGAGGCAGGAGGATTGCCATGAGTTCCAAGCCAGCCTGGGCTACATAGTGAGACCCCTGTCTTCTAAAAAAAAAACAAAAAAAAACAAAAACCATAATAGATAATTCTAAATAATCTCTATGAACGCCAGATGTGGTGGCACACGCCTGTAATCCCAGCACTCGGGAGGATGAGGCAGGAGGATCATTGCGAGTTCAAGACCAGCCTGGGCTACAAAGTGAGATCAAGGCCAGCCTGAACTGTACAGCGAGACCCTGTCTCAAAAAGACAAAAAAAAAAGGTCTGTGAAGATTTTTTTCCAAGCCAAGGATTCCACAGTTATCTCAGGTAGAAACTTTTATGGGATGGTAATTTATACTGTTCAAACCCAATACTATTATATTACTTGGTTTACTCAAGAGACCTACATAAACTTTTGCTTTGTTTTGTTTTGTTTTTTAGTACTGGAAATCGAACTCAGGACCTTGCGCTTGCCAGGCAGGTTCTGTACTGCTGAGCTGTACCCCTTGCCCAAGTAAACCTTTAAGAAAACCCAAATTCCTAAAAGTGACTAACCACCTTTTCTTCTAGGACGTAATAACAGCACCCACCTTACAGAGTGACTGTGCCGCTTACGACTGAAGTGTTAGGGGAGCCACACGGCTGGGCTGAGCCACAGACACCCAGGCCTGGACTTAGCAGCGGTCACTTTGCCACGCATACGGGCCCCTTACTCGTGTCACCCCAAGCTTTAAAATGACTCAAGGCCTTTTACTTCGGTCACGGTGTTTGAAACTATGAAGAAGAGTTAGCTATCAAACTGTGCTCTTATGTTGTGCACGTGTATTTACAGAGGAATTCTGGCCAGACATGACATACAGCATAAGGGAGTCTGAGAAAGGGATACTGACCTTTTGCATGAAGTATTTTTTGAAGGATCCTGAAGAAGACACAAGTCCAAAAATAAACAAAAAGAGAAAAAGATTAACACCGCACATACAAGCCTTTTTGTAGCCAGTAACAGAACTTCATGCATTTTGATGTTTATAAATCTATAAAGGAACGGATGTTTATAAATCTATAATGAACGGATGGACCGAGAATCTTATTTCTGATAATATATTGGTACTTGCTAATGAAGAATCACTAGTGAAAGCATAGAAATGGCCTAAAGTTTTTTAAATGTAAAAAAAAAAATGCTAATGATACAAATTATATTGAAATGGATTAAACTTTTAGTCACAGTGAAGGGCCTGGTTCTTCTGGGTTTGCCACTGGCAGTACCTAAGATCACATTTTCTGAAAATAAATTTTTTTTCTGAAAATATTTTTAAAAGCCCCCCAAACTCTTCTCATATGTCAACTGTGAAATACTCAAGACCATGATTGCTTTGTAGCTCACAGAGATGAATTGGCTTATTCTTTGAAATCTCAGTAATATGACTGAAAACTTTACAGTTTATTACACAATGAAAAGTGAAAGAACGGTTCAGGGGAAGAAAACACCAAAATAATCTTTAAAAACAAATTTTGGCCATAAATAGCAATATAAGTACTGATATATGTGACAATGTGGATGAATCTTCAAAATATGCTAAATGAAGCCAAGCATGGTGGTGCACGCTTATAATCCCAGCACTTGGGAGGTTGAGGCAGGAGGGTTGTTGCAAGTTTGAGACCAGCCTGGGCTGCAAAGTGAGTTTGAGGCCTGTCTGAACTGCATAGTGAAGTCTTATCTAAAAAAATAAAAAAATAAAAAGACAATACACACATCCATTTATATGAAACACCTGGATTAGGACAATCAGCAAAGGCAGAAAAGTAGAGAAGCCATTGCCTCGTGCTGGGGAACGGGGAGAGAAGGGGAGGATGGAAAATGACACTAATATGCATGGAGTTTCTTTTTGGAGTGATAAAACTGTTCTACAGTGGACTGTGTCTATAGTTAGTTTATGAATACACTAAAAACCACTGACTTGAACATTTTAAATAGGTAAAGTGTATGGTATGTGAATTATATCAATAAAATCTTATTTATTTACTATTAATAAGTAAATCTTTTTTATTCAATTTAAGTGTATGTTAAATGAAATAACTATAGTCATTAATTAGCTATACAAGATAAAAGGTCTGCTAAATTACTGCCAGAGGACAATAACCCATTAGCATTGGTTGCTGCTGCCCAAAATATCATCGTAGCCAATAGCAGAAGTATGCAAGGTATGAATATAGTGTATTAACTCTGCTTACCAATAATTCTCAATAATTTCCAGGAATCATACATACTGGCCCCGCAATACTTTAGAGCAGGCCATGAAATGAGTTTTAACTTCCTATATCAAAAACATTGCCATGCAAATGAACACATGCCCCAAACTTGAAAGAAATTAGCCTATAGGTAAGCAAAACTTCCAATGAAAGGTTTTAGAAAAAACTGCACTAATATACTACCATATTTCTTTGAGATCTTCATGGTTTCTGTTATTTGGGACATTTCTGCTAGCACAGCATGGAGTTGGCTAATTAAATACATGATGCAGGTCAATCTTCTTTGAGAAATACAACAAAAAATTACTACCTTACAGGTTTGGGAGGTGGTGGAGGTAGTGATTCGTGGTGTGTGCATTACATTAATTTATAACAGTGCCCTTTTAACAAGTCGGCTAGGACCGAGATATGTGCTAAGTACAGTGCGCCTTGAAAATGTCCTGAGTAGAGAGACGACCAAGACTACAATATTCTGAAATTATAATCATTTCTTATCAACAATAAATAAGTGAAAATACATAGGTTTGGTTTTTTTTAAACTAGGTACATTAAAATATTCCTGTTTTTAGATGAATTTATCCCCGGAGGCAGAAAAAGACCAATTTGACTAACACAGTGGAATGAACAGAAGAGAGAATCATCTTCTCCCTTTTGAACATGGATAGCCATGTAAATGCCAAATTAGAGCAGCCCCATTTTTAGCCAACTACTATGTAGTAAAAGAGTTGCTAAAGACACAGTGCTTAGCAGCCAAGTCCTTTAGCCAAGTTTGGAAAAAAGTCTACTGAGGTTCTGTTTCTGTTCTATGTTATTTTGTTTCTTGATTGTGTGTGTGTGTGTGTGTGTGTGTGTGTGTGTGGTGCTGGGAAATAGAGCCCAGGGCCTTGTGCATGGCAGGCAAGAGCTCTACTACCACTGAGCCACATCCTCAGCCCCGGGTTCTTGATTTTTAATTTTACAAAATTGAAAAGAAAAAGTTGTAACATATAATCTTTCTTCACCTCCACTTCTCCTCTATTCACAGCTCCTCAGTCCTCATTTCCATGCCAAAGCGCTGCGCTGAATCCCATGGATGCCTAAGTGAGACTCTTACAGTTTACAGCTGACTTCAGCTTACCCCTGTGAGTGTTCAGGCATATCTGGCTAGTTATATTCACGTCCAGATTTTAATGCTCTCCACTGTTCACGTGGAAGTAAATTACAACACTATGATTTTAGTTATGAGAGGAAAGGTTAAATCCAAAGTTTTCCTAGCATCAGCTCTACCAGGTAGTTAACACGCAATCTTTTTATTCTCTAACAGGTTTGGAATATACCTGCAAATAACCAAATTCCTATGCCTACTATGATTTGAGCTCAAAACTAAAGAAATGAACTGTTTAATTAAATTCATTCCTAAATTTCAAGGTTAAGGTTTTAATTCCCTCAAAAACATATTTACATACATATAAATACTAAAGATGGGTTTTATAGGGTAAAAGAAAGTATTACCTGAGAAATTTAAGTAACTCAACTAAAATTGTCTAATACTGTTCAGCTCAATGCTAAATCAGGTCCCTCATTTGTAAAATGAAAGGCTCAGATCAGATGAACTTACACTCTAAAATCATATTATTTCAAGAGAATTCTCTGAGCCAAGGGCCTTTTGTCAGCTCAAAACCTACAAGCGCAGCATCCTTCAAAAGGGTCGGGAGAAGAAACATCATTCTCGAGTCTAGGGAGAGTGAAGGAGCACTACCACACATAGATTTTTCTTTTTTCTGCAAGTTTTATAAAGGAGCATTTTCCCAGATAGTCCTCCAAAAGGCAGTGCACCATAAAGTACTGACCCGATCTGATAGGATGAAGAGAATGACAAATGTCCTATCTGGCAATCCCGTGGGAAGGAATTTTGGGGTCAGTGGAGAAGGATTTCACTATGAATTCTGTTCATGAGAAAACACGAGAGGAGTGCGTGCATACACTTAAGGAATGTGGTGTATGAATACTTTGTCATCAGGACACAAATTAAGAACGAATGAGCTAGAATTATGATCATAATATATAAAAACATAGAGACATTAGAGTATACCTTCAGCTTATAATAGTTTATATTTAGGCTTTCAAAAGCTTAAATAAAAGGTATGCCAGGCGTGGTGGCTCACACCTGTAATCCCAGCACTTGGTTTTTTTCCGGTACCAGGAATCGAACTCATGACCTTGTGCTTGCCAGGCAGGTGCTGTGCCGCTGAGATAAATCCCCAGCCCCTAATCCTAGCACTTGGGAAGCTGAGGCAAGAGAATAGTTTCAAGTTCAACACCAGCCTGGGCTACAAAGTGAGCTCAAGGCCAGCCTGAACTGCATAGTGAGACCCTGTCTCAAAAAGACCAAAAAAAAAAAAAAAAAGTATATAAAGTGTACAATGAGCTTATGTTTTAATTCCTAAATTAGATGTTTGCTATTCCAAGAGGATTCCAAGTATTTAAAATCAGAGGAAGTGTGTTTTAAGCCACAGGACACCTTTAGCAAATTTAATAGATACTTAGGTGGTTCACTGGCATTTCTGCAGTTTTTATTTAGAACACCTTGGTATCTTTGTAGCCGGTAACTTAAGAAAAACAATTTGAGAACTTTTGGCTTCAAACACTACTGCTAAGGAATTTTTCACCCATAATATCCTGAACCTTACACATGAGCTACTGCTATATGAATCTCAGTATTTGGTGCATCTAGTAAGTTTGAGGACTAAAGTACATGACTTCCACATTTTATAGTCCTAACTCTTATCTGTCACATGAATACTGGGGACAGTCTCCTCATAAAGCTCTAGTGTACTAAAATATAAAAGTTTCCGCAAGCCATTTATTTCTGGATGAAAATACAGCTTAACAATTACTCTCTCACAAAGTATGTATGCTTCGTGTTAGCCTGCTTAGGTAAAAAATATTTCCTGGTAGATAAAGTAAAATTCAAAAATAAAAAACATGCCAAAGTTTGGTGAGATGTGGTGGTACCTGCCTGTAATCCCAGCACGTGGGGGGCTAAGATAGGACGATTGCTGCGAGTTTGAGGCAAGCTGGGGCTACACAGTGAGTTCAAGGTCCGCCTGAACTATATAGTAAGACCCTGTCTCAAAAACCCAGTGCCAAAACCAAATTTCTGTGACTCACTGTGATAAGATATATCTCTAAAGAAAATAATTAAAATACAGAATGGTTTAAGTGAAAAAAGTTATTATAATATTGGAGGGCTGATTTGAAAAGGATGTTATCTTGCTTTTCTGATCCCATCTGCAAAACTCCCTATCATTTCTAAATAGAGTTTTAGAAAATGTTAATTCTTGACATTGCTCAAGAAAAGATGTTCCGTTTCTCAATGATTTTGCCTTGACATTCTACACTTCTTTTCAGAAGATCATGTTACAAAACACAAATGTTAGACAAAAACAAGGAACAATGAAACAACGGGACAAAATACTTTGGTTAATAGCTATCAATACTCGTCAAAGGGCAAATGCATCCTTTAATCAATTAGGCAGTCGGTGCAATAGGAATATTAAAAAACTCTTAGAAGTATACATTTCTAGTTTAATGTGACCGCTACGGCTTGGATAATGATTTGACTGTTTCCCTTGAGAGTTCATGTGTTGGGGCCTTGGTTCTTAGTATGGCAATGTTCCTTCTTCTAATCTTTCGAACTACTTCACTTTTTCAAGCATATCATGCATTAAATTTTTTTAATGGTGAAATGGTCAAGTTATTGGTCTATTTACTGGAAGGAAACTTTACTAGTAAAGCAGTTGAACTAACATCTAGATGCTACAGTACCTGTTGATAAATGGTCCCTACATTTTTGGTCAGGTTAAATGTATATGTACTCTACCTCCTGAATTACTGACAAGACTGAGTGATAAACAGCTAACCATGGGCTGGGGATTTAGCTCAGCGGCAAAAGCGCCTGCCTGGCAAGCGCAAGGTCGTGAGTTCGGTTCCCGGTACCGGAGAAAAACCAAAAAAAAATAAATAAATAAACAGCTAACCAAGAAGTAAGTGCATAATCAAAAAGTAACTCATGCACTACCAGTGCCTGTGGGCTGTTTGCTGCAGAATAAAGAAGGAGGTACACAGGCATAAATAACACTCGGCCTGTTTCTAAGAACAGTTTCCATAACCAAAAGTAGATCTAAAAAATGTTAAGTCAAATATGAATAAAAGATGGACTGCTCTCAGCATGAGGATTAATCTGGCAGAGAAGAGATTCACAAGGAGAAAATGATTTTCAATTCTAGTTAGTTATCCCTAACTGATACAGGTAAGAAAGACATCTGCTGTCAGAGCTATAAATTTCTAAGCTGTTTAAATTTTGGATTACATTTCAGGGCCTTCAACTCAGATATTATCAATCTAACAATAAAATAGCGGTAACCGTGGATTATTTACCTGTGTTGTAGTAAAACAATATGAAAGGCAGTTTCTTTTTTTCTTTTTCTTTCTTTCTTTCTTTCTTTTTCTTTTTTTGTGTGTGTTTTTGAGACAGGGTTTCACTATGCAGTTTAGTCTGGCCTGAAACTCACAGTAAGTCTTCCTGCCTCGGCCTCTTAAATTCTGGGATTACAGGCCTACGCCACCATGCTTGCCTGAAAGGTAGTATCTGAAAGAACTGGTAAAAGGTTCCTGATGTATGCTCTGGAATAGCAACATTTGCGGTGTTATTTTGGGGAGAGGTACAGGGAAGAGATGTGAGATGCAAAGGAGAGAGAGAAGGGAAGAAACCAAGGGCGGAGACTGGCAACTAAAACTCTCCCTTACGGCTGAAGTCTTCTCTTAATTAGGTTTAGGGGGGAAAAATCACTTCGAATAGCATTTCAGACACCGTGAGCTAAGATAAAGATAAACAATTAATGAAATGAACTTCACTTCCACATATTGATGGTGAATGTTTAAGCCTGGGATAGAGAAATGAATAAAGTGGATACTTACAGCCTGTATCCTAAAGTGTTTGTTTATTTATAAGAAATAAATCTGAGGGATCAAGAATTTCTTCCTGGAATTGAAATCACATTGGAATATACTTCTGTGATCTTGAAAATGTACCAAAAGGCCCGCTTGCCTGAGGTAGAACGGTGTGACTGCAAACACAGCAGCCAGACCCTACTTCAGGAGGACAGCTTATTTACACACAAGTGACACGAGGGAAACTGAGACTTGAAAACACTACTTAGTCATGCTTTAGCCCTGCTAGGGGCTAAACTACATGTGGAGATGTCTAAATTATTACAGCTCTGGTCAGTTGAAATGACTTCCTTCTCTATACTTCTTACAAAAAATACAAGGAACAAAACAGTTTTAAGTCAGCTGAGAAATCTCTAATTAATTTTTTGGCCTACAGAAGACAGAAAGTGTTTTCCATGGAAGAGAATTAAATTTTACTCAGTTTGCAAATGAAAAGAAGGGCATATCATTTAGCACTAAGTTTGGTCCTTGGCAACCTACTTATCATTGGGGTTACTTAATGTGCAAATGCAGCTGGTGGCACAGACCTGAATCTCAGCACTTAGGAGGCTAAGACAGGAGGATCGCCACAAGTTCAGGACCAGCCTGAACAACATAGTGAGACCTTGTCTCAAAACAAAAACAAAAACAAACAAAAATGTAAATGCTCAAGCCCTACCTCTAGAGATCCTAGCAGCAAAGGAAGCCCAGGAAATATACACTTTATGTATATTTTACGTTCATTCTGGGCGATTCTGATTTAAATGGTACAAGGAACAGAACTGGAGGAATACTGCTCTCCATTCCTTAGACAGCTCCTACCTACCTACTGTATTACCAAGAAAAACAGCAACGCAAAACAAGTCACAGACTTCTGGACACTAACTGCAAAAATATTTTTCTAATGTTTTCACATAAAGCTGCTCTCATGACTGCTGTGCAGAAATGGGTTCTGGCTCCCAGACATAAGATGTATCTCTTGTAAAAACGGGAATATCCCTTATCAAATCTGACCACTAACAGTGATATTTGGGGGACACGTTCGATATACTAATCAGGACAACACTTGATTTAAATTTTACCTTTATATCACAAGGGAGGTTTCAAGTATGGGTAGTGCATGTATGAGAAGAGGAGGACAAATCAACTACCAGCGCTTACCATGTGTTTAAAGAGCCATTTTAATCCCCATTCATAAATGACTCAATAGTTCCGAGTAGCAGAGCCTAGCAAAATGGAAGGGTTCACGTATACAAACACCCTGGATTGCAGGGTGACAGATGGCACACACTGCCGAGCAAGCACTCCCTTGAATTGAGAGAATTCTCACATCTAGGCCGACCTGAACCGCTGCGTCAAGCCTGGTCAGTAATTCTGGCTCAGTGAAGAATAGGAAGCAAGAGCCTACGAGGAAGAGAGGCTGTACGGTATCTATGCTATTCGAGGCAGCGCCCAGACGGTCTGTCTTTTAAAATCAGTGACAGCTATTCGAAATTGTAAGAGAGTAAGTAAGATGGAGCCACCCAGCCTGTGGGAAGCAGCCACGGCTTTCACATTTTCCTGGTACAGTGCAGATATGTTAAGGTTTTCAAATACTCCAGTACTGGATCTTTTGTTTTTGTTGTATCACTGAGTTACTGGGAAGGGTGCGGGCCTATCTGAGCTTGCAGAATAAAGTAAGTTTGGCAAAGAGGGACAGAAAGGTCTCTGTCGTTATAAAAAAAGACAAATATAAGAAAGAATTAACTTCCCAAATCTTTTTCATATAGAAGAAATTAGTCTCAACTGTTCCACATAATGTAAGATTCTATAACTGAACCCATTAACTAATTTCTTTCAAAACCATATAAAGAATATAGCTTTAGATTTTCAATTAAAAAAAAAAGCGTATAGAAGTATTATCAAAATGGTTCCTACTGTCCAAGACTCAGCTATTCTTTTTCCTGAGAGGAACTGAGTCCAAATTCCTGAAAAACAGGATGTTTGCTTGGGGAAAAGTAAACACTTTTAAACTTTTTAACTTCTCTTGCGAAGATAATTGTTTAAAGAAACAATTCTACTTGAGTAAACAGAAATATAACTCTTGAAACACACAAGAAAAACTGATGACTTCTTACCTTGCTACCACTTTGAGGTTTAAGGTCACTCTGTGAAAAGAGAAAAACAGTATTGTAACACGTATCCAGATGAACTCTTGCTATGTCCTTCTTTCTAATACTGGAACATGAGACTATAACCTGGTAGTAGTGAATTCTGGGAAAACTTCAGGGTCTGAAGATGGGAACTGACCTCGTACTCTTACCACATCAGGGTCCCCTGTTCAAATGGTATGTACAGAGGAATTAGAAGTCCACAGTTACCACCTTCGGCATGGGACTTCCAAGAACTACCAAATCACTACTTTAGGTAAAGATGTTATTACCTGCCGTATAAAGATCAATCAATCAATCAAATTAACCAAAAATCAGTCCCCTTAGCTTCTCAGAGATACGTGTTGTGCTGTAAGGCTAGAGGGTTCGTAAGGAAAATTCAGCCTCATGACTGGGTGGAATGAACTTCTGTTTTAATCATTCTCTTATTCCAGTCTGTGGCTATTCAGTACTTTTCACTGCGTAAGTGCTCCTCCCTTTCTGACAGTTCTTACCGGATGGAGATCACCAATGTAGTACTGCTTTAGCATTTCTCTGGCATCAGAGGAATGGCCTACATCTTCAAAGCTTTCACTTGCATCTACACCAGCTTGTTCCAGCAGAACCTCTTCTCCACCAGGATGCTACAAGGAAGAGGTATTTATTGAACCAGGGCTTCTGTGAAAAGCAAAATAATGTGTTTTTTTCTCCTGTCCCCTTCCCTCCTTTTTCTCCTTTTAAAGGGATTAACAGAAATTGACATTGTATGCCACCTGTAAGGGCACAACGTGGAAAACACAGCAAAATTTCTGTAATAGTCTCGCTAAGTCAGGCGTACTAGTGCAGGAAGACTGTGATCAGCAATCCGGTGGCTGAGGCAGGAGGACTGCAAGTTTGAGTCTAGCTTGGACAACTTAGTGACTTAGCAAGAACTTGCCTCAAAATACAAAAAGCAAAATAAATAAAAAGGGCCAAGGGCATAGCTCAGTACGAAGGCTCTAGGTTCAATCCCCAGTACCACACGCATATATACACAAAAAATTAAACACAGTGTTACCCTATGATCCAGCAATTCTGCTCCTAGGTGTACAGTCAAGAGAAATTAAAACACATATCCACATACAAACTTGTACATGAATGTTCATGACAGCATTATTCCTAACATCCTAAAAGTAGAAACAACCCAAATATGTACCAACTGGTAGATAAGTATAATACAATTTTTTGGCAGTAGAAACAATGAAGTAGTAATACGTCCTACAATAAAGATGCCTTAAAACACCGAATGAAAGAAGCCAGTCACAAAAGGTCACGTATTACACACTTCATTTACACAAAATGGCCAGAATTGGCAAATCTAAGATAGGAAGATCACTGGTGGCCTAGAGCTGAGGTTACTGAAGGAAATGGGGAACAATGGCTCATGGGTACAATGATTCTTTTTGGTACGATAAAAACAGTCCTGGGACTCTGGGTGTGGCACAGCAAACCTATAATCCAAGTTACTCAGGAGGCTGAGGGAGGAGGAGTACAAATTTCAGGCCAGCCAGGGCAATTTAGCAAGACCTTGTCATAAAAAAAAAATAATAGTAATAAAAATAAATAAAAGAACTAAGGATGTAGCTCAGTGGTAGAGTACTTGCCTAGCAAATGTGAGGTCCTGCTTTGATCCCCAACACTGAAAACAAAATAAAAAGTTCTCAAACTTGGTAGATATAGCCAGACATGGCATGGCACACCTGTAATCCCACCACTCAGGAGGCTGAGGCAGGAGGATCACAAGTTTGAGGCCAGCCTAGAATACATAGTGAGACCTTGTCTCAAAAAACAAATAAATAAAAAATAAACCAACAAACCAAAGAAAAACATAAGTTATGATGGTTGCATTACCTTCTGACTATACTTGAAGGCTGAGCACACATCTGTAATCCCAGCACTGGGGAGGCTGAGGCAGGACAACTGTTGTGAGTCTGAGCGCAACCTGAACTACGTAGCAAGACTCTGTCTCCATAAACAAAAAAAGGGGGCCAGGGATATAGCTCAGTGGCACAAGCACCTGCCTGGCAAGCGCAAGGTCCTGAGTTCAATTCCCGGTACCAAGAAAAAACAAAACAAAACAAAAACAAAAAAAGGTACCTGATGTACCTTAAATTATTTAAAAGGAAGCTGTTAACAATCCAAGAGCACAAATACCCTTATTTAACTACTTTTCCAATATTCTTCAAGATAAAAAGTCCTTTATTAAAGACTCTCTGTATTAAATTTTACCTTTTTCACTAACCAATTATTTCAAGAACCTCAACTACCTTAAAACCTTGAAAATTAACATTTAGTAACAATATTGGATTCTTTCCAATTGGACAACACTGCACCCATTCATCAGACTACAATCCTGGGAGTGTCCGGAAATGCCTCCCCTTCCCATTGGACACTATTAGCCAACAACAGGTTCTGACAGCCTAAACTTCTTAGCAGCTTAAAGCCTATAATAATAAGGGCACCACAACTGTGAAACATATTTATACTCACTCATCAAATTAAGAAAAAGTATTTAACTGAAATGCAAAACCCAGTGCAGGAACACGGGCCATCTTGGAAGCAGGAAGCAAACCTAACCCTAATCCACCGGCACCCTGATTCCAGACTTTCCAGCCTCCACGTTCAGCTGCTTTCGTTTGTTTCTTCATCCCTCACTTCCTGCATTACCAGCGTCTTGTGCTTTTGTTTGGTTGGTTGGTTTTCTGAGTTACAGTCTCACCATACTGCCCAGGCTGACCTTGAACTCAGGGTCCTCCTGTCACCGCCTCCCGCGTAGCTGGAACAGGCAGGGGACACCACAGCAAGCTAGCTAATGTTTTCACAGCGAAACATTTAAATTCCCATCTCATTTCTCTTTGTCCTGGACTCACGATGGCTTAACTTAGGACTGTGATGGTGCGAAAGTGATACACATTCAGTACAAATCATACTTCAATTTTGATCTTTTAGGGGGCAGCACTATGTGGTACGATGCTCCTTCTCAATGCCGGGCGCCAGCAGAGAGCTGCGGATTCCAAACAGCCACAAAAGCATGAGCGCCAACAAATGAAACTCTATGCGTACTGCAATCGTTATTAACTAAGATATTGTAATACTTTATTATAAAATAGGCTTTGTCTTAGATGACTGTGCCCAGCAGGGGACAAATGTTAAGTGTCTTGAGCACGTTTAAGATAGGCCAACTTAGTCTATGATGTTTGGCATCTTTGGTCGATTAAGTATATTATTAAATTCATTTTCAACCTAACACCATCCCCCGCCCCTTTTTAGGGCAGTGCTAGGAATTAAACTTAGGCAAGTGCTCTACCATTGAGCTATAACCCCAGCCCTTAACAATATTTTAAAAAAGCCAAAGGAAAAAAGAAAAAGAAAAAGAAAAAGAAAAAAAAAAAAAAGGAGGCTGGGGATTTAGCTGAGCGGCACAGCACCTGCCTGGCAAGCGCAAGGTCCTGAGTTCAATTCCCGGTACTGGAAAAAAAACAACAATAAAAAAAAAATTTCAACTTACTCTAAGTTTACTGGAATTGTAACCCCATTGTAAGTCAAGAAGCATCTGTATATTTATAGTTATCTTCACTGTGGTTACCATGGGGCTTACATTTAACATCCTAAAGTCGTAACACACTAATTTAAATTTAGATCACAATAACTTCAATAGCATATAAAAATCCCAGCACAGTGATATATACTCATAGCCTCAGCTACCTGGGAAGCTGAGGCAGGAAGATTACCCAGGAGTTCAAATTCAGTCTGAACAATACACTAAAGTCCATCTCTCAAAAAACCCAGAAATACTATCCCTTTACAATTCCATTCCTACTCCCTTTTTGATGTTAACTCAACAAAGAAAAACAGGTGCCAACTTCAGAAGAGTATAAAGCCATCCCATGATTGGCCCATGTGAATATAACGATAATGCCCCTTAGGGAGAGACAGATTGTGTAATAATATACTCAGTTCAACAGCAAGCCAAAAGAAAAGATGGAGACACATCTAGTGTGTTGGTTACTTTTCTCTCATTGCTGAGACAAAATACCCGACGCCCCAGAATTAAGGAAGGAAAGGCTTATTTGGCTCACAGTTTGTGGAGGTTTCAGTCCATACTTACCTGGCTCCAAGGCGCAGAGTGGCACATGGCAGAAGGCAATAGTTCCCGATGGCGGAAAACAGCAAAAGTAGCAAGAGCGAAAAGGGAGGAGCAGCAGCGAAAGAGCAAGTCTCTCTCTCCCCCTTATATTGTACGCAAGCTACCTGCCCCAGGGCGGGTATAGCTCTCACACCCATAATCCCAGCATTGGACCCTGGATCAATCAAAATCTCTAGAAGCCTGCCCCATGACTACATGAGGTTTTGGGGGGACATCTAAACACAAACCGTAACACCCAGGATTTTCTTATTACTTAATATTTGCCCTATAGGTGACTCCTGCCATTTAAAACTTTTCATGTACTTTCAAGCTTTTGCTGGGATAACAAAACAAAATGACTTCATTTACTTTGTTCCCAGGAAGACCAGTGAGGGCAATTCAAAGTCAAAAGCTGAACTTCCAATTCTGATATATGTAGATACAAGCAAATAATGCTAATGCTAATAGATTAGAAAATGCTGAGGTCAAATATTTGAATATCAGAATAGACTGTTTCTCATACTTGAAAATGGGACATTGAAATGCAGGTTTAGGGGCTGGGGATTTAGCTCAGCGGCACAGTGCCTGCCTGGCAAGCGCAAGGTCATGAGTTTGATTCCTGGTACCGGAAAAAAGCAAAAAAAGAAATGCATGTTTATTACTACCGCCACCTACAACTGTATAGTATTTTTGTTTTGTTTTTTGAGATGAAGTCTCTGTGTTGGCCTCTTTCTTACCATGGTCTCAAATGACACTCCTGTCTCAGCATCCTGAGTAGCCAGGACTACTAGAATTAAGAAATGAAAGCTCTTCTCCACTGGAATTTATTTCTATAATGGTGAGAGCAAAAGGTTGACATCTGTACCCACACAGTGTACTAAAGACTACGTTTTTTTCTTCCACTGATTTTATTTTTCTTTTTTGAGTGCTAGGGATCAGACCCTGGGCCTTGTACACACTAGGCCTTCTACCACTGAGCTATACCCCCAAACCTCCACTAATGTTAAATGCCGTCTTTATAGGCTAAGTTCCCATGCGTAAGTAACTACTTTTTTTTTTTTAACTAATTTAGTTCCAGTGACCTTTGTTAATTTCTGTGCTGAACAATTATCTGATGGAGATTTCTACAGTCCTGCTGACTAGTGGGCCGCAATCCCTACCCAAGTCCACTACCATTTCAGTCCTTTGACAGTTGTTCTGAAATCTGAGAGAACTTTTTAAAAAAGTTTCAGGTGATTATTTAAGTATGTGGAAAGGCCCTGCGCCAAATCTACTGAGTCACAATAGCCTAGAGGGAGAATTGTTATTTCCTGAACACCTTCATCATACACACATATAAAATTTTCTCCAGTCTATGGCTTGCCTTTTCTTTTTCCTACCAATGTCTTTTGAACAGCATTAAGTTGTTAATATTGATTAATCAATTCCATCTTTTTTCTCTTTTATGGTTATTGCTCTTTCTATCTTCCCTAATCAATC